TGGACAGTTGGTGTATGAGTGTGGAGAGTATTGGCTAAGAACACAACCACGGGAGGAAAGGGCCAACCGGAAGCACCCCACGGCGGGGGCTATCACAACCGGATAACCACATATTTAAGAATTCACGCCTATTGTACTAACCACTAAGCACATAAAGACCTCAAAGACAGCCCACAACAGAACACATTTTATGAAAACAACGCTAAAGACTTACATTCAAACCAAAGAAAACCAGACTACAATAATACCACGCCTATAAATAAAAAAGACTTAACCCAACCCCTTCGTGTTATATTTCTACTAAAAAAAAAAAACCCGACTGAACCAAACCCCGTAACACACAACCACGACAGCAAAATTCCTCTCATTCTGTCAATAACCCCGAAAATAAAAACCTCCCTGCACTACCTCACTGACCTATGTATTTATCCACGTCCGTTGACCTATCTCCAAACCGACGTTAACTCGTTTAGCATGTGTGTTGTGTGGTTTTTGATGAATCACTTTCTAGGATATAATACGAAGCCCTTGAACGATAACGCACTATTCTAAATACCCGAGCGTCTAAAATAGTAAAATGGACAGAATATTACTCAATTCGACGTACCAAACTCTCTCTCCCCCACATCCCTGGTATCAAGGCTGATTTAACTAGTAGTTTTACGCGTGATCTAACGTGTAGAAGTAGGACCCGACTGAGTAAGAGCAACTCCGATCTAAAAGAAAGACGGGGTTTTACTTGCGCTACGTCTAGAGATCCACCTGCCTTGACTTTAATTACTTACCACGTCGGTTTCTAGACATAGTACTGGTTGTCTTTTAACAGTCGCTTGTTTGACCGGCCGGTGACGTATGCGAGGAGGACCGTCAGTGTTATAGGACTACAAACCGTGCAAACATCTACGACATTAATGAATGAAAAGCCTTTATTTGGGTTTTCGCACGACTATTTTTATTTTACAATCCAACTGTCCTTGATTTCCTTTTTTAATGTCTTTTTTTTTGTTTTACTGTCTGTTGCCTTTTGAAAACCCGAGTGTTTTTATCTTAGACTTCGTGTTTCCAATTTTTAATCCCTAACTGTCATACTTTACAGTTTTTACCCTAGCTTTTAAAATTTTTTTTGTCCTTGCCCAAAGCCTGCAGATGAAAATGTGATAAGATTAAGATGTTGTACATAATTATTAATTAATGTCATACAATTAACTGAATACCAAGTCTACATTAAACATCCATCATCCATATATCTTCACACCCATCTCTAATATTTACTTCCCAAACTCACCCACCTAGTTCATCAAATGTGTCAACATTTGGGTATCCCTCTAGTAAATGGCTCACACTCAATTCTATATCACTAGACATCATCACCAATAACATCATTATATTCTCTATTAGGCATTGATAACACTACCGACCAACCACGATGCATTGGGTCGTCAACAAAAAATACTTGTTTTGACTTGAGAAGCCATAACAAATTGGTCATTCCTATGTCCCATTTTACTCAATCTACAAGGGTAAATCCAAGTGTCGTCGACTACAAGTGGTATCTATCCAATCCACACCTCAAGACTGGGATCTAAATTTGGTAGTCCAAGGTCCCAATTTCTTGAATACACCATTAAAACCCAAATTGAATATGGGTTTTTTATCCTTGGCACTAGCAACTTGCATAGTATGTGCAAGTAAATAAACTCCACTATTTGGACAGTGTCGCACATCATCTTGTGCCTTGGTGTTAAATTTTAACACCATTAATAGATAGCTCCTATATGATGGCACTGCCATGCGTGGACCAGCTGCTAGCCACCTCAAATTTTCTGATACGCCATTATGCTCTTCCCATTAAGTTCACTTTGAACTGCAATTAATCATATACCTTAATTCAATCTACCATATAGAATGGAATAAATTAAAAGTTATGCATATTCATAACATAGATATATCCTTAAAGTGTAGCCATTGAAGGAAAGTGCTATTGTGCTTACCTTGCAGCCACTTTATTCTCTTTCTAAATTTTGGATAAAGTGGTGTCTGATGGGATCAATATTTCCCACCCATGACAGCACCAAAAAATCAAGCCTTATGATTTCCTTGTATATAAGATACCATAAGGAATAATAATATTTAAAATATAGGAATAATAATCTTTAAAATGGCTCCATAGGAAAAATAAAAAAGTCGACGTATCGATATAAGGAGAGAATTCCCCTGTATTCTCCAAGACATATAAATGTGGCTGGTTTAACACAGTGTCCCGATCAACTCAGCTTACTGTGCAACCTGATAATGGCCTTTGAAACCCATCCTTTGGCTTTGAAGGCACTCCAACTGTATATTAACCTCAGATAAATGCTCGGTGCAAAACTCTATAGTGTTCTTCAGCTATATACCGCTCCGTAATGCAACCTTCCGGACGAGTACGGTTCTGAAATATACCCTTTTAGTACTTTCCTATACCTTTCCAACTGATACATCATCCTCTAAAATATACTGGCCACATAGACAAACTTCTCTGACAAGATTGTCTACTAGATGAACCATGATATCAAAGAATGAAGGGGAAGTAAGTAAGCACATAATCAAAGAAACTACGCACATTTCTCTCCACTTATCTAGCTTGGAAACATCCACCGTCTTTGCACATATAGCATTGAAGAAGAAGAACATCGAGTTATTGCATACCTTGCAGGCTTCTCCAAAATAAATGAACTGCCCACACGGGAGCATGTTGCCTAAGGTATGACAATCATGAGATTTAAGTCAAGAAGTCCTGAATCTTTTAAAGATACAAGATTTTTTATTTGAACAATAACCTGCAGGGACCTTCATACCATAGAAAGGATGCAAACTGCTCTCTTCTCTGCTCTTGTGACAAATTCAAGGCCCGGGAGGCACAATGGGAGTACGTCGTTGTCCGTACGTGGGTTTGCAAATCAGTTGTGACCCGTATGATACATAAATCTAACCGAGAGCATCCCATCTGTATTTTTTTTCCCAGGGCAGCCAGCCAGTAACCAATACAGACTATCACAAACTGGCTTCGCAATGTCAGACCGCGAGGACATGCTCATAGACGGGTCTCCACATACTCGAGATCAGAGATGTTGATTCTCTTCGTCCACAAACCTCGCTGGCACCAATATTCTCACCAACCTTCCTCCATTTTCGAGTCCAATGTAATTACTATTTTCAAATGGTGCAACACTTCTCTCCGTTAATGGTCGGGAGGCGGGCCTATTCAGGTTTCCCATTAATAGCTGCACACTGCCTCCGATAGGATGATTGATTGGTAACCATTTTTTAATGCCCAATGTAACAAATTTGTGGCCATTTTTTAACTGTGCCTAGTGTTCATCCCCGCATATTCAAGCTTTAACATCAGTTACAACACACTAGATAAGTTCCCATGGCAAGAAAGCATTAACTGTCACAACAATAACACCTCTGAGTGTAAAGTATTCTCCTATATGTGCATCATACACTCTTCCTACCCATCCCACAGAGATTTTTAAAATCATCAATCAAAGGCTTCTAAGTAGACGTCTATAGCATGTCCCGGCTGTTTAGGACCACAGAAATCAATAAGGTTAACATCATGAACTTCCGTTTCATGCATAGCCATGGGGAGAGATTATATGTAACTAAAATAACTGGCAACAACCTATATCTGCTACTTATAAAGAACTGTGGAGATTGAATCCATCAGATGAAGAGGAGTCAGCTCAAGGTTTCTCAGCTCTTTACCAAACTCGGGCCCTTATCAGCAACAAGTTTGCAAGACGGAATCAGCCTGGATGAGACATTTTAACCGTCAATCATTTTCTAGCAGCATGCCAAGTCAAACCTCGTAGTTGTCTTATGTGATTGAAACCTCCTTTTAAACTTGGAATTGGTGAGAAAAACACACTACCTTCGCTGGCGCACACCTTTTCAAGATTGAATCTTTGCCTTCTTCACCTTCAGACACCACAAGTAGGACAATTAGTTGAATCTCATAATCCTTCCTATACAAGATGCAGTCATTGGGACATGCGGGGATTTCCTCATACTCCATCCTCAAGCAGACAATGTCTTTTTGGCCTCGTACATAGAGGAAGGTAGTATAATTCCTTTGGAAGCAATCTCCTTCAAGTATATAATTCTGTAAACCAAACATCACTCTCCCATGTTTTGCTTTCAAAGTATATACGTCAACCAACCCGACAACATCGTGGTACTGTTATTGCTACTAGGTACAAGCTTTGATCGCATCAATCACCTTGGCAATCTCATAAGGGATCAAATTCCAAGATCGCCGAAATCAGGTCTCCATCCCTCACGGGGTGTCTATTAGAACAGAAACTGAGAGAAAAAAAAAAAAAAAAAAAAAAAAAAAAAAAAAAAAAAAAAAAAAAAAAAAAAAAAAAAAAAAAAAAAAAAAAAAAAAAAAAAAAAAAAAAAAAAAAAAAAAAAAAAAAAAAAAAAAAAAAAAAAAAAAAAAAAAAAAAAAAAAAAAAAAAAAAAAAAAAAAAAAAAAAAAAAAAAAAAAAAAAAAAAAAAAAAAAAAAAAAAAAAAAAAAAAAAAAAAAAAAAAAAAAAAAAAAAAAAAAAAAAAAAAAAAAAAAAAAAAAAAAAAAAAAAAAAAAAAAAAAAAAAAAAAAAAAAAAAAAAAAAAAAAAAAAAAAAAAAAAAAAAAAAAAAAAAAAAAAAAAAAAAAAAAAAAAAAAAAAAAAAAAAAAAAAAAAAAAAAAAAAAAAAACTAAAAATCCTATCACCTGTCATAAAGCCTATACCTATTTTGTCACCATTTGGCTTACCCATTTCAATCATTCTATAAAGTTTTTCAATTCCTATGATTAATCTGTGCAGTTTCTCCTCAGCTTCCTTGAGGTTTTCCTTAAAAAAGTCTTTCTCAGCAAGTAAGTTGTTGACTTGGGATCGAATAAATGTTTCAGTCCTCTGCCACTCATCCTCTTTTTTTTGCACTTTGATCTTGAGTCCATCATTTTGTTTCTTCACTTGTCAAAGTTAAGATACAATTCCTTGTACCTTTCTATGGTTTCTTCAATATCTACGTCCTCCTCATCTGAATCATCATATTCATCATTGTTTTCAAGGGCAACAAAAGCAATCTCTTCCTCCTTAACCTTGGACATATCTAACTCACTCTCACTCCAAGAATTATAAGAGGCTTTCAGGGCTTTCTTCTCCTCTTTTTGTTTAGATAGTGTTTGCACACTCTTTGGGTTCATGTCCATACCTGAGCATGCATAACACTTCCTTTCTTCAGACTTGGGAATGAATCTTTGAGACCCATCTTTTGACGTCTTGTTTATAGAAGATCTTGTACCTGAAGCACTTCCTTTAGAATTTGTCTTGTTTATAGAAGATCTTGTACCTGAAGCACTTCCTTTAGAATTTTTCTTCTTCAGTAGCTTTTGAAAATGATGAGTGATTAAGGCAAGTTGCTTCAGATCAATCTCATTACAATCATCATCTTCTTCTTTTATAACTTTCAATGCTAAATTCTTGTTGGCCTTCTTTACAGGACGCAACTCTGACTCATATAGGTTTGCAAGGCTCCACTAAGATCAGCAAGAGATAAAGTATTTATATCTCTTACTCTTCTATGGCAGTCTGCTTGGGACGAAGTCTGACAGGCAATGATCTCAAAATTTTTTCTACTACTTCCAATTCTGGTATAACTTTTCCCAAGCTTGCACAACTATTTACTATCCCAATAATTTTTTCATAGAATTCAACATAAGGTTCTTCCTCTCCCATTTCGAGTTTTTCAAACTGTGATATAAGTCTTTGCAGCTTCAATTTTCTGACCTTGTTATTCCCCTTGAACAATTATAAGGTTATCCCATGCTTCCTTTGATGTCTTGCAATTTCTGATATGTGCAAACTGTTCGGAAGATATAGCAACAAATATGGCATGTATGCCCTTCTGATTATAAACACTCATAGCCTTTTCTTCAGCAATCCATTCTATCTTAGGCTTGGGAATTTGAAATTCACTAACCACAACATCTTTCTCTTCTACACCATCTTTTGTCTCAATCTTCCGTTTCTCAATAGTTCTCTCAGTCTTGGTAGGTGCAGCATATCCTTCCAAAACTAGATCCCAAACATCATCTCCTTGTGCCCAGATATAGGCCTGAATCCTGGCTTTCCATTCTCCATAGTTTTCACCATTGAACTGAGGAGGATGCGAAGAAGACCCATATTGTCGTTCCATCCTAAGTAACCCCTAGGATCTCTCTAAAATCTTAGAGACCTGCTCTGATGCCAATTGAAATCGTGCCTCAAGTAGAGTAAATAGATAACCGGAATATGATTGGACAAGGATGTCAATTCCAAATCTAATTAATAAAATCTTGTAGCAGAAGTAAATTAACACAAGGATTTTTGTACCCAATGGTACGAGGAAAAAACCCAACCGGGAAAAACCTCTAGAAATCCACTAAGAAGGGACTATTACAAGACTCAAGAAGATAAACTATAAACAAGAATCTATCCAATACTTTTGTCTTGCCTTACTCAGTCCTTGCTTGAACTCTCTCAAATTCAAGATCCTTATGAACAAGCATGCCCTCACACAGCTTCCACTGCACACAGCTTCCAATATGGAATATGAAATATGAAGATGCAAACTAGAATTAAAAAGCTTCACAAAGTTGCTTTATCATTCTAATTTTTCATGAATTCACCTTTGCTTCTCTCAATATAAATATCTAAAATCAGTTTTTGCATAAGTGAGTAACAAAGGTCTTCAAGCTTTGCTTTATATCAACAGAAATCACGTTCCAGAAAGAGTAGGAAAAAGTAGAATTGGTTTTAACGTGAAAAAGAGGAAAACAATTTTGCTAATAAAACTAAATCACAAAAATATAGTTTTCCTAATATGATATGCAAATGTAAATTACCTTGTAGACATACCCTTGATCTGCTCAATCTAGATAAGTCTTATGGTCCAAGTTAATTTGCCTAAAAACTAGGCCTAAATCTACACAACGAGGACACAATTACAAGTCTAGGAAATTAAGCCAATTCCTAAGTAAATTCACATTTACAATTGTAGAGCCAAAAATCAAGCTCCCTTAAAAAACTCTCTTCCTTATTAAGGAAGTGACGTCTACGAAATGTTGTACCCTCCTTTTTACCAAAACAAGTCTGCCCTGAAACTCCCCCAGCTAGCAACTAATCATTGGCTTTATAATAAGAAAAAAATCATTTGGACAGAAAGACTACAGCTGGCAAAATAAATGAGGTGGTAGTTTTTAAGATGACTAGTCATTCATGTTGACTAGTCATATCCTAATGCAGATTAATGCATTCTTTACCTTGAGAGTTTCATTGCAAGTTGCCACATTTGAACACAGCCACAAAGCCATCTTGATACTATAATAACCTAGTCTAAATATAATGAGCTTGATTGGTTACATATGAGTTTACAAGTTTGTGAAGAAAAGCTAAAACATTATAGCTTAAAAAACCCTGAAACATGTTACCAACCTTTACGTACACCATATCCTCACATTGCATGTTCTCGCAAGGCAACTCATCTAGTTCTGTTGTATTGTTTTCCGCATAATATGTAGAACTAAAGCTCTTCTTCTCCCAAGTAATTTTCTGAATCACAATATTGATTGTTATCTTCTAAGTCAGCTCGAGTACCCAAGTTGAGGTCCACTGACATTGGTAATTGTCTGAAGTCAATTGTAGCTTGTTGATTGCTTTGTCTTTGCTTCAACGTAATGCACAATGGAATCTTATAGGAGCTTAAAATACTTTCAGTAATAAAAATTTTCACGTCATCATCATCAACTATATCTACAGGCCAAGCATTTTTCGTTGAATCATATATAACTTTCATAGTTATTTCATACTTATTTGGGTCCAGATTTGTAATGTCATACACTTTATTCCGAAGGTTCTCTAATGTAATTTTCTCTGGAACAAGTACTGCTTTAGTTTTGCCATTTGTGTACGTTGAGTGAACCCAGCTCCCTCCATAGCTAATTAAAATTGTCAATCTAGACATGGTACTGAAAAGTAAGCCGAAAAAAAGTTAATAAAAAATAACAGACGCATTGAATAACAATATTCTGACCAGTGTCAATACAAAAATAAAAGTGAGAAAGCTACTTAACTACGGAACAAAAATGAAATTAGACAAGCTACTTAGCTATGGAGCAAAAATGAAAACAAAACGATAGCTACGATAATATCAAATATAAATTTCATACTAATACTATTTAATAAGTTAGGATGAAAATATAAAATGTATATATAGAAGATTCCTGACATAGCACCTCCAGAACATTGCCCACATACTAAAAACTACAAAGCAAAACAAAAACTTGAATACACTATATATAAAATAATAATTATGCAGCAAACTCACAGTAAATGACCATATTAAACTATATATAAAATAATATAGCCTTGCAGATTGACAATGTCCTAAAGAAAACATTTTCAATTTCGCCCCTTCTTAGTGCTTGAATTTCAATAGACAGTTATATCATAAGATTCAACTATCTATAAATCAAGGGCAACACCGGATCCTTGATCTCTAGTGAACATAAATTATTTCTTCTCCAATACAGTATGTAGAAAAAATATAATTTTTTATATATTAAAAATGCCCGGATTGAAAAAAATAATAATAATAATTTGACTTTCACGACTTTTGATATTTTGTTTATATAACACATCATTTTATTTGAATTATGCTCTTAAAAATGGAAAAATTATCAAATTATTTTTTATTTGTATCCAAAGCCAAGCCCATCAATTCCACCACTTGTATCCAAGCCCAGTAGCCCCTCTTGAGGTTTTCGACTTTTTCACAAAACTGCTTGAGGTGTTAGAAATTACAAGAACATCCTCGAAGGTTTTAAGTTGTTTTCACTATTACTTTACTTTTTCATCCAAAATTTTTCATCCAATTTTACTGATAATAAAAAAAAAAAAAAAAAAAAAAAAAAAAAAAAATCCAAACAATGTTGGTCTTTGAGATTAGATTGAATACACTTCATTGAGGTTTATTTTGTCATTTGCATAAGTTTTTTTTTCTTCAATAAAATCACCAATTTTTGAACAATCAACAAAAAGGGGTTTGTGAAAACAAACTGAAACCTCAGGGGGTGTTCATGTAATTTTTGAGACCTGAGAATGTTTTGTGAAAACACAATAAACCTTAAGGGGTGTTCGTGTAAATAAATCTTTTGCTTATAAAACCTAAGGAAAAGTTTAATTTTATTTTTTCCTAAAACAATTATAATTTAATAAATGAGATTTAAATGGTTTGGGCTTTAGGTTGGCACGGCCTATGGGCCTCGGACCAGCCTTGCCCATTGGGTCAAATTATCCCATCTCGACCCGTCTAAATACGAGCCATGCCGTGTTGGCCCTTATTTAATCGGGCCAGACTCATACTATGCCCGGGCCAATTCAGTCCATTTAACACCTCTACGTGCTAGGCAAATGCCAAATACAACTCATTCCAAAAACACAAAAAGATATCCCCATCCAAAGTACAAGTCAAGGAAGCAACAAAGGATCACCGAACTAATAGTATGGTTAGGGGAAAGTAGTCTGTTATGCTTATGTGTTTAACCCTTATTATACGGTTTTCTTATTTTCTCTCGTTTTCGTATGATTTGCCTACATGTAATCTAATAGTATGGTTATTGCAGAGAGTAGATGAGAGTATGATGTGTAGTTCAATTCCTAGTTCCTACCATGTCAAAGAAACGAAGAAGCAACTAAAAAGAAAAAGAAACGACGGAAAATTACAAGAAAGACGTAAGGAAATGGCAGAAAAGGAACTGCATTGCAAAAAGAACAAGAAGAAATATTACCTTTGAGTTGCAGTACTTTTTTCCCAATTTGCCAATCCAAGAATAAGAACAAGAAGAAATATTAATACCCTCCAGTTGCAGTAGTTCTTGCCAATTTTGCCAATCCCAACACGCCCGCCTTTGGTTGAAAAAATTTTATTGTTAGCAATGTTGATGGTTCCACCCCTCCTTGTTGGCATCAATATTGTTTGAATAACTTCGTTCTTGATGTCCAAAAACACAACTTCACTGCCTTCACTTGTGATAATTTCGTTGCCAGAAATGTTCCAGGTCTCGTTGCTTTCAGTATCACTATTTTCACTTCTTGTTGCCATCTCCTCGTGCAGTTGTTGACTTTCATTTTGGAGACCCATCTTATATTGAGAAGATGGGAAGTCTCGGAATGCAAAAATAACAATGGAAAGAGTCTATGGGCAAATATTTCAAAACAGCTAGTCAAAAGTCTCGGAGATGTAACTTGCATTCTACATTGAGAAGAGTAGGTGAAATGGCTCATATTAAATAGTTTTTCCTTGACCAATACAAACCTTCTGCAACTTTGACAAAAAAAAAACCTTCTGCGACTTTATTGGAAGGGTGCAATTGGCTGAGAGAGAAGATAAATGTGGGACCAAAATAAACAAGTCCAACTAATTTGCCATTCGTTTGTTGATACATCCAAAAATTTATAACCCCAAGTCAGAATCCGCAGAAAAATATATCCAACAAATTGATATAAAAGAAAAGAAAAGCAAATCAAAACAGGCAATGCCCAGAAAAAAATAAATTTCAAATTTGTTGATGCTCTTTTTCGGAGAGGGTCAACTTAGAGATAGGGGTTTGTCTTTAGCAAGAGAAGGGCCTAGGCCTTCAGTAAAGGGCTAGCTTGCAGAAGACAAAAATATATAGGAGAAGCAGTCGTTAAGCTTCGGATACCGGTGTGGTGCCTGCCGAAGGCTCTCCGATGCTTGAGTCAGCTAGTGGTAGTGACTGTTGCAAAGTAACAATAATAGTGAGAGAGAAGTTACCCTTTTTCTTGGTTACTGTTCCTTATTTATAGGGAAGTAAAAGTAGGAGGTTTGCACAAAGTTCCGATGTGGGACTTTGTGCAAGTTGCTGTGATGATGACACGTGTCTCTTGTGTTTAGGTTTGGCAGTTCGGAGCTTCGGCAGGTGGTTGTCCCTTCGGAAGAGCATCTCCCTTTGGCAGGGAAGAAGGCATGTCTGCCTTGGTGTTAGTCACTTTGGTGCTAGGCATGCTTGGTTAATTATGGTGTAAACAGTAGTCCCCCAAGTTGTCAATCAAGAAGTGGCTTCTGGTTTGGGAAATTGTGAAGAGGTTGTGTAATTAAACCAAGCGTGTCGGCGTGACGGGTGCTGAAGGTAGTCCCCTAGTCCCCCCAAGTTTGAAAACTAGAAGACACCCCTTTTTTTTTCGAGCATCGGTCATGGGGGTGCCGAAGGTGGCCTTCCGAAGATAGCCTTCCCAAGGGAAGCTATGATGTCACGGGTACCTTCCGAAGGGAAGGTGTGATGTCATCACGAGTCGCAAGGTCCTTCCAAGCTTCGGAAGGGAGCCTTCCGAAGGGAAGTTGTGACGTCATCATGCCTTCGGAAGGGAAGGTGTGACGTCATCGCGTGTCGCGAGGGGTCCTTCCAAGCTTCGGAAGGGAGCCTTCCGAAGGGAAGTTGTGACGTCATCATGCCTTCGGAAGGGAAGGTGTGACGTCATCGCGTGTCGCGAGGGGTCCTTCCAAGCTTCGGAAAGGAGCCTTCCGAAGGGAAGTTGTGACGTCATCATGCCTTCCGAAGGGAAGGTGTGACGTCATCGCGAGTCGCAAGGGGTCCTTCCAAGCTTCGGAAGGGAGCCTTCCGAAGGGAAGTCGTGACTTCATGAGTGCCATGTGGCAGTGGTATAGAAACGTCTGTTCGTGGAAATCGAGGCGTCCCAACGGTATGATGAGTTATTGCTTGGAGCAAGAATCGAGGGGTCCTTCGTATGCCTTTAAAAGATTGTGGAGGGCTGAAGGAGTGAGCACTTGGAATTTTTGAAAGATTTTAGTAGACGAGCAAGGGCGATTTCCGGCGAGGTGTGAAAAGATACCTTCGTGAGCCAGGCGATTTCACGCAACCATGGATGGTGGTGATAACAAGGTATGCCTTGTATTCCTTCTCCCTTTCTGGATTGAAATGCCCCTTTTGCTTTGAGTTTTGCATGAATTTGGTATGAACGTAGATGAACTTCCATGAACATATGAAGAACATGCCTAGGCTTTTGTTTTCAATCTTCGCATACGCCTTAGTTTCCCTTTTTGTGTTTGTAGATGTTTGATAATTCTGAAAGAGAAAGTCAAAGCTCTCCAAGTCCCCATGCCTTCAGTGGGGAAGAGTTTGAGAGTGGTAGCCATAATGAAGACTTGGGTACTGATGGGGAAAGTACTGGGTCTGAACGTGTGGTGGAAGGGCTGATAGTGGAGGGAAATAGGGTTGGGGGAGAAGAGCAGTCAAGGAGTTCTGGGGGCGAAGCTTATAGGGAAATGCAAAGGAACTATGTGACCCTAGAAGCTTGTGCAAACCGGGTGTTGGGGATAACCCAGGCACCAGAGGCTAGTGCAAGTGGGCGAGCGTGGCCATCGGGGTGTGGTACGGTGGTAGTAGCATCCGCCGATGTGGGCATTCCAATAGGGGTTCCACTACCGAAGAAAAATATGATGAGTATGTATGATCTAAAGTCACTGAAGGCAGATTATGCTATACCTGAGTGTGTGGGGCTGAGGTTGCCCATACCTACTGAAGCGGCAAGATACCCTCCCGAGGGTTGCGTTATGGTGTTCTCAGCCATGTACAAACATGGATTGAGGTTACCATTGCATCCTTGGGTGCAAATGATGCTTTCCAGATTGGGCTATGCCCTTGGGCAGTATAATCCCAACTTCTGGTGTATACTGCACCGGGTGTACATAGCATGGTGGTTGGCGAAGCGAAGGGAGCCCTCCTTTGAGCAGTTCATGCATCTGTACTCAGTGTCTAGGCAACAGGGCAACTTTGGCTGGGTGCAGGTCAACTGTCGAAAGGCGAAGGAGAGAGGATACTTTATAGGGCAACCACCATCGTCGCAGAAGACGTGGCGAAATCGGTGGTTCTTTGCCTTTGGTGGTTAGGAGTGCTGGCCTGGGACGACTGTCAGCAAACATGTGCCTACCCATTTTCAATATATTGGTCTTTGGTTATAACTCCTGTCTTTGTGTTGAATGTGTTGGTATGAATATGTATTGTCGTCCGAAGCTTGTGAAAACTAACGCCTTTGTCCATGTGTAGGTTCTGTGAAATGTAGGCCAGTGTCCAGGGAGGAAGAGGAAGAGATAGAGCTGGTGAGGAGACAGGTGCCCCAGGAAGCGCGTGAGCTGAAGAATATTGTGACACCAGCTCTTCTTCTACAGTCAGGGTTGCTTCAAGGAAGTAAGTATTGGCCCACTCCCTCCCTTTTGTATGTTTGTCTTTGTATATCTGCTCACCTTTGCTTCGGTTTTGTTTTTGCAGTGGCTGAGGTGCCGAAGAAGGTGGTGACCGTGGTTGAGAATTCACCGAAAGTAGTGGTGGATCCGCAGGAGGAGAGGCAACGAAAGTTGCAAGAGAGAAGAGAGAAAGATAGGGCCAATAGGGCCAAGAAGCAGGCAAAGAGGGCACCCAGTACAGCCGAGGGGACAACAGCCCGGGCTGCTGGAAAGCGGCCTTGGCAGGAGGATGATGAGCTGTTGGCGGAGCTGGAGAAGAAGCGGAGGGGGCTTGAGTCTTCGATCCATGACGTCATGGGTGGAACAGTGCTGCTGCCATTCGACCTAAATCCCCCACCCAGGCTGCCGCTCGAGATGGAGGAGCTATTCCCTGCAGGTACCGAGGATATAGACTTTGCCTCGGTTCAACGGGAGGCGAATGAGGTAACCCTGGCCATGCATCGCCAGGAAGTGCCTCTTGTCAACGCCTTCCTGACTGGGGTAAAGATTGATGCGGGGGAGCTCACTCGGACCAAGGCCACGGACTTCTCCGATCGGGTCCAGAAGACGGTGCTCTCTACCGCCAATGTAAGTAGTCCTGTGCCTTTAACTTTCTAATAGTGCAATTATGATCTGGCTTATGAACATATCTTTCTTGCAGGCTTTTGGGGATATGTACCTCACCCTAGCCAGGGCGGAGAGAGAGGTGGACTTGGTGAGACGCCATTCTAAGACAGCCAAGGCTGCTACCGTCGAGGCTCAGGCTGCCATCCGGGAGAGGAATGTGCTGCAGTTGAAGGTGGGGAAGCTGGAGCAGGACCTAAAGGAGACAACCCGGTAGCTAGAGGCGGTGGAGGAGGCTAGGCTCGAGTCTGAGAGGAGGAGGACCGAGGAGCTGAGCGTGGCTCGTGCCGAGGCTGTGGAGGAGTATCAGGGCTCAGACAGGTTCAAGAGCCTTGTGCTGGACGCGATGGTTGAGGAGCAGTATGGGTGGGAGAAACTGGTTGCGAGGTTTAATCCAGAGTTGGATATAAACTTCGACACCAGTGGTGTTCCCCCTCCCATTCCTTTCGGTCGGGAGTCACTGTTTGCAGCCACTCCGTCTGCTGAGGCCACGAGTCCTTCGGAGGCCGAGGCGCGGGGATGTGCCAATGCTAGTGGAGGGGAGTCGACCGTGGATCCTGACACCGAACCTCGGCGTCCTGTACCGAACCTCGGCGTCCTGTAATGCTTTGCTGACGTAATGCACTGGGTGCTCAGCACTGTTCTTTGTCTGGATGAGCACAGAACTGACCGCTGTAGCCGAGACGGAGAGATAGATCATGAGGGTGTCTCCAGGCTCAGGTGTTGACAATAAGGGGGCCCGTCTCATATACGCCTTCAGCTCATTGAAAGCTTTGTCGCACTCAGTGGTCCAGGTAATACTCTGCTTGCTACCCTTAAGTGCCTTGAAGAAGGGGGCGTAGCGATCAGTGGCCTTGGAGATGAATCTGGTCAGGGCTGCGACACGCCTGGTAAGGCTCTGGATGTCCTTGATCGTCTTGGGTATTGCCATGTCTAATATGGCCTTGATCTTCTCTGGATTGGCCTCAATACCCCTCTCGCTGATCATGAAGCCAACGAATTTGTCTGAAGCCACCCCAAATGCACACTTGGTGGGGTTGAGCCTCATCTTATACTGCTTCAGAATGGTGAACATGGCTGAGAGGTTGGGGATGTGCTGGTCAGTAGTGCGACTCTTGACGAACATGTCATCAACATAAACCTCCATGGTGTTGCCAATTAGGGGAGCGAAGATGCTATTCACCAGACGCTGATATGTGGCCCCGGCATTCTTGAGGCCGAAGGGCATGACTTTGTAGCAGTAAAGGCAACGATCCGTGATGAAGGAGGTATGGGCTTGGTCCTCAGGATGCATGAAAATCTGGTTGTACCCAGAGTAAGCATCCATGAAGCTGAGAAAGGCGTGGCCAGCTGTGGCATCAACTAACTGGTTGATGCGGGGTAGGGGGAAGCTATCCTTCGGGAAGGCCCGATTGAGGTTGGTGTAGTCTACACACATGCGCCAGCCCTTGGTGCCCTTTCGAACCATCACCACATTGGCGAGCCAGGTGGGATAGTCCACCTCCTTGATAAATTCAATGCTAGTTAGCTTGTCCACTTCTGCCCTCATGGCCTCATATCGCTCTGGGTCATAAGCACGACGCTTCTGCCGAACGGGTCAAACGGCAGGATTAATGCTTAGGCGGTGGGATATGATTTGAGGTGATATGCTAGGCATGTCATTGTACGACCAGGCGAAGACCTCAGAATTAAGGCGAAGGAAGGCGACAAGATCAGAACGAAGCTCCTGTGAGATAGAGGTGCCGATCCTGACCTGCCGGTCCGGGATGTTTTCATCGAGAGTGACCAGCTCAAGGTCTTTCACAGGTTCGGCCTGTGGGGTGACAAATTCCTCCCTAGGGTCTTCTGGACGCTCGGTGCCAACTTGGACCGGTGCTGGAGTCTGGGTTACTGCGAGGGCCTCGCCCCGATGTTGGCGGTTGGTGGACTTTACTGCCGAAGCGTAGCAGCTTTGGGCGCCAAGTTGGTCTCCGCGCACCGTGCCTGTGCCATGAGGTGTAGGAAACTTGAGCAGCAGCATATGGGTGGAGATGAAGACCTTCATTTAGGCCATGGCAGGGCGGCCGAGGATGACATTGTAGGCTGTGGGCCAGTCGATAATGAGGAAGGGAGTGGTGATTGTCCTCTGCTGGGGTGCCGATCCAATAGAGATTGGGAGATGAATGCTTCCAATGGGCTGGACCACCTCACCAAAGAAGCTCACCAGGGGTGTAATGCTTCGGTCGAGTACGTGAGATGGGACCTGGAGCTCGTTGAAGGCCTCAGCAAACATCACACTGACTGAACTGCCAGTGTCCACCAAGATACGCCCCACATCAAAGTTAGAAATGTCGGCGCGAATAATGATTGGGTCATCGTGGGGGAGAATAACACCGCGCTCTTCCTCCTCACAGAAGGTAATGGGAGCCCAGCCTGATTTATGGGTCTTCGGCAAGCGTCCCTGCTCAGCGCTGAAGACCTGGTGTGCATAGGTGGAGCGGACATAATGTTTGATGGAGTTGTTGGAGGTTCCAGATTTCATTGTTCCAAATAGATTCTATCCTACGCATCTGGTGTCATGGAGTGAAAAGCTTAAGCTGCTATTACCATGAAGATTAGCTGCTAGTATTGCTAAGCTGAGTAGAGCTGCTTCCTAAATAGATATAGGAATTCTTGAGCTTGTTTGTTTGCGTAAAGACCCATTTTTTTAAAGTATATATTTATTTTCAGGAGGAAATATTTCGCTATTTATATATTTTATAAATTATATATGTATTGTTATATTCATTTTATATTTATATCTTTCATTATTGGTTTTCATATACAACATACATACATATATATAAGAACCCATATCTTCACTACTAGAAAGTTGGAAAGCGACGACAGTAAAATGACGACGGCATAACTAAATACTGTCGTTGTGTTTAGAAAGACGACATTGATAGAAAACTGACATGGATTAGTAACTTAAACACTTTTAAAATTGAAATCCGTTGGGGTATTTTTAAAACATGATGCCCACAATTTATGCAAGGTCTAAAATATCGGTGATATCGGAAATATCTGTAGTAAAAAAACACAGAAATTTCGATGGAAATACCGGGATATTATCGATATTGATAAAAATTGAATAAAAACCACAGAAATTGTAAGAAAAACTTGGAAATTTTTATTGAAACTTTGGAGGATGCTTATTTAGTCAATTATCTATTAGTTTATCACAAAAAATTGGAAGGAAATGCATTGCATGATGGATTTAACTAATTTAAGTTGATTATGTAGCGAGCTGAAAAATACTGTGAGTGTAGAAAATATGTAGTAATTAATGAAAGAAGATTAAACACACCACAATCATTTATATATAATGATTTACTACAATATTTTACATTTTATACATTATCTTAGTACCACATAGAGTTCCTATGAGGTTCAAATTTTTCACTATATTCATCATCTCTATGTGTAGAGTAAGTGTATTGTGAAGAGTAGTCATCAAATGATAAATCCCCAAAATAGTTTTGCATGTAATTGTTAACATGTCACCCATATGGATCCGAGATTGGTTGACATTGTCCATGAGCAAAATCATTTGAAGATTGAGTCTCAGATTCTTTCCATGAGCTGCTCGATTCCTTCCCAAAAGGAATGGGATATGAAGGGTAGGGAAATGGTTGGTTATGAGTATAATCATAGTTACTACTTCCCACTCCAACACAGTCTGAAGTTATAGATAACGAATTATCTTCTTGACTTGAAAAAATCGCCTTGCCTATTTCTCTCCGAGTATAGTCCTTCCCTATGGCACCAATTCCTGGCCCTCCCCGCCTACTCCCATGGTCCTCATCTTGTGTTGCATGCGTGAAGTTTGCCTCACCAGGCTCATAAATCCAGGAGGCGGTCCAACGTAGTTTCCATATCCACCACTACTTCCAGCTCCACTATATCCTTCATCATTCCCACCTCCAGTGGTAGGTGAGTCTCCTGATCTTGTACTAGAGCTATCATTAGTATCAGCAGGATCTTGTGGTTGTGTAGGAATGGAAGGAGGAGGAATTCCTCTATTTCTTGGTCTGGGGCGCAAAAGTTCTTCCAAGAGTCAATGTTGCTAGATCCCACCTCCTCCTCTAATACTCTTTCTACATTTATCCTTCATTACGTGCTTCTTCAGCAACTCTTAAAGCTGGGTAGCCTTCATCATCATCTAAATGAAGAGGTCTTATCCATTGATAAAGTTGGTTACCCTCTGTATCATCATCTTCAGCAGCAATATCAAACACATCTAGTGGGTCACCACGGTCGACATGATCTCTTTCTGCTTCCTTATCTCGAATTTGAAGCTTCATGTTGTAGTAGCAATAAACTAATTTTTCCAACCTACTATGAGCCAACCTATTTCTTTGCTTTGAGTGAATGAGTGCAAATGTACTCCAATTTCTTACACAAGATGAGGAAGCTGTTTGTTATAATACTTTGATTGCTAACTTTCTCACAGTTGGTGCATCAGTCCCATACATGATCCACCATTCAGCTATAATGAAAAATAATGTTGATAAGTCTAATAACTCCAACAAATTCTATTATAAACTGATAGTGAAATATGTTTACACTCACTAGGAGACATTTTTGTTCGAGCAGCAACTGATGTTGGTTCTCCAAAAGTTCTTCTCGCATCTTTAAACCATGTTAGCTGAATTCAATAAATCGTGTTAGTGTAATCCAACAATGTAATTATTATAATTTAAGTAATTGTGTACCTCATTTCCAAATTGGCCAACTGCTGGTGATGCAGGGTTTAATTTAGAATATACTTTGTGTACAGCACGTATAAGGTACCATCGTCTCCAACATCGGGTCTGTATTGGTATCGAGGATTCAAATAATATGCTGGTCAAAGAAACATATACTCTAATAAGAGAAATAATACTTATGCAACTAAAGAAATGAATTGCAAATTATGACATAATTAATACCTGCTGCATGCAAATCGTGATATAATGTTTTATACCAGCGGTTATCAATTATCTTTATGACCCACCTTGCACCATGTTTTCTTTCCAATTCCTAATTCACTACACGCATTAACTCATATATTGCCCCCATAGTAGGATACACCTCTGTGTCAACGATCCGTAAAACTTTGTAAAGAGGTTCAAACACTTGGCACACATGTTCTGATTGAGTTCAAAAAGAATGATCAAGCACTATACTTTCCACCATACGACTTGCATTTGAACAGCTGAAATTGTGGTTGGCCCAATCTTCGCTAGTGAATAGTTGCTTCAACCCTGATTTCTTCTTAAGTAGGCTGTCTAACGCAATGTAGTTGGTGGCGAATTGAGTGGCAGCTGGACGAATAATTTCTCCTTTGCAAAATTCACTCATCTTTGCCAACAACCAACCGTGATTGTAAATATAATTTGTGATCGTTCTAGCTCTTTTTATGACATTAGCAATATTCTCTCTCTTCCCCATTGCCTCAAACATGAGATCAATACAATGTGCTGCACATGATGTCGAAAATACATTATGATGCTTCATTAATTTTTTTCGGCTTTGACAAATGCAGAACCGTTGTCGGTCACGACTTGGACAACATTATGCTCTCCCACCTCCATGATCACATCCCTCAATAGTCTGTAAATATACTTGTAGTTCTTTATATGGTCTGAAGCATCAACATACTTCAAAAAAATTGTCTTTCCCTTGGAGCATACAATGAAGTTTATGATAGACAATTTGGTCGGGCCAGTCCATCCGTCACACATGATTGTGCAACCATTAGTTTCCCACTTTGACCTCAACTTGTTGACATACTCGCTAATGTCTTTATACTCCATTTCCAATATTTGTTTCTTACCTCATAGGAAGTAGGAGGTTGCACTCCAACACTGGCCTGTTGACATCCCAATACCATATTTTTGAAATGATGTGATGATTCCTTCTCAACAGGGACATTGTCATAGATGAAGAACTTGCTAATTAGACGCCCCATTCCCTCCTTCACATTACCTCTAGCGAAATAACTCCAAACACTCTTTTGGTGTGCTTTGGATGATTTATATAAACTTGGGGCCATTGGTGGTGTTGGTTGTAATTCTCTAACACTTGCTCCCCGTCTCATCTGTGCACCACCACTTGTCTTGGAAACTTGTGCTCTATTAGCAAGTTTGTGGAGGTGTTCTCTTTCCCATGCTGACTGTTTGGAGGCACGTAATGATTGTTTGAAATTGCGTCGCTCTTCAGGTCCCATGTCATCATCACATTCATCCTCATCGTCATCATCATCATTGTCAACCGCTTGGCCAATGACTTCTCCTCGTAGTCCAACTCGAATATTTTCCATTCCATGTGTTTTCTTTTCCTTCTAGTGTTGTTTATTTTTTAACAATGTGGTGATGAATGCCTTCACTTCTGGGGGAACACTATCGCATCGTTCGACATTATTTCCTGGATCTAATCCACTAAGATGATACTTAAGTCATGTCACTCCACCACTCTTTATTACCCGACCACAATATTTGCAAAATGAGCCATTTTTGTTTCCGTCTATTGGGTCTCCATGTTCCCAAGCTGGATCACGTTTAGTAACTCCACTAGACATCTTAAACGTACCTATATTTATTTGTCATAGAAATTAGGAAATTATTTTTGGCCAAAAAATATAATAGTGACGGTTATATAAGAGAACCTAAATAATAAAGTTATTCTACGGAAGAATTAAATAGGAAGCAAAGAAAATGATTGTAGGAATTTAAGTAATTACAAAAATAATATGGAATAATAAAACCTAATAATGAATAATAATCCAATTCGGTAATAAAATAATAAATAACATTAAACATATTAAAATTATCCTAGGGAATAATTATACAACATTACTTAATTACTTCAAAGAATTAACATGCAAGTATTATTTGGTTCTCATATCACATGCACCAGTTCACACAAATTTTTTGTTGTTTTATAAATTACAATAACATATATATAAGTTTGTAAACTTACCTTAAATATGGAACCCTTTGTGTAAAGGCTAAATAGAATCTGCATGGACCAACAAGAAAACAATAATGAAACAAGTGTAACAAAATGTGATGGAAGCATATAAAGTCTTTAATAATGAATTTAGAGACAATAAATACACATGTAAGTGACCAAATAAAGAATAGAAAAATTAAAAACCACATGCCATTGACTAAGTAATTAATTGACACAATTTAAAATATAATACCACCAAAAATTTGGAATAGATAATAATAAACATGCAAATTAAATAACAATAATGAATGAGAATAACTTACTATAAACTTGCGGGGAAATTGAGGTTGATAGATGTTGAGAAAAATATAAGCATTATGTTTTGTTTTGGAGAGATGTTGAGAAATAAGGGACGGGATGGGACCATTCGATTTTATTGGTATATATAGAAATAGGATTACCCAACTATATGTATAGAAATATGACTACAACTAATTAGTTAGGTGAGTGGTTGAATGGTGGGGTAAATGAGTAAGTTGAAACGTAGTGAATAGTTGAAAAGTTGAAACTTGAAAAGCAGCTTGCAAGTACTATATTATATATACTAGATTCCATAGTTTATAATCATAAACTTATGACCAGCGTGGTGGTTAAGTGGCTGCAATTTTCGAAGTGGAGAGGGGTTCGAACCCCAGTGTGTGCAAGAGCGTGAGTGAGTTTAAATTGTTTAATTTTTGAAAGTTCATATCGCGATATATTGACCATTTGAAGCTGCCAATTGAACGAAAATATCGTAACTAAAATATCGGCGAAATTATCGAGGAAATTATCAATAAATTGACAATATATAAAGATGACGTTCCATCTACATCATTGACGTATTATCTTGTACTTAACCATGATGGTAATTGTCGTCTTAACAACGTATGAAGTGCTCTTGTACTACAACGGTTATTACAATGTCGTGTGAGGTTATGTTTGCTTGAGAAATACTTTTCCCCTTCATTCTTCGATATCATGGTTCATCCAGTACTATATCTTGTCAGAGAAGTTAGTCTATGTGGGCCACTTTATTTTAGATGGATGTATCCATTCGAAAGATTCCATGACGCTTTTGGTCATTATTGAATAACATATTGAACTTTTATTTTTCTTCTTTTTATGTTAGATTGAATTAAGATATGATTAATTTACAAGTTCAAAGTGAACTCAATGGGAAAGACAATAATGGCGTATCAGAAAAGTTGAGGTGGCTAGCAGCTGGTCCAAGCATAGTACTGCCATCATATAGGAGCTATCTTATTAATGGTGTTTAATTTAACACCAAGGAGCAAGATGATGTGTGAACTGTCCAAAATAGTGGAGTTTATTTACTTGCACATACTATGCAAGTCACTAGTGCCAAGGATAAAAACTCGATTATCTCCAATATAGGTTTTTATGGTGTCATTCAAGAAATTTGGGACATTTACTACCAAAAGTTTAGAATTTTAGTCTTCAGGTGTGATTGGATAGATAACACTTTAGGCCTTGTAGCAACGAACTTGGATTTACCCTTGTAGATCTAAGTAAAATTGAACATACAAGTATTTTTTGTTGACGACCCAATGCATCCTAGTTGGTCGGTAGTGTTATCAATGCCTAACAGAGAATATAATGATGTTATTGGTGATGATGTGAGATGTTAGAATTGAGTGTGAGGCATTTACTAGAGAGATACCCAATGTTTACACATTTGATGACCTAGTGGTTGAGTTTAGGAGTGAAAATATTAGAGATGGGTGTGAAGATATATGGATTGATTAATGGTTGTAATGTATGACATTAGTTATGCAATAAATGGCTCTGTTTGACATTATTTTTATCACTTTTTCGTTATGTGGATTTTGGGCATGACAATTCTGGTATTAAAAATAGTAGGTTCAAGATGTAAAATACGATGGGACAGTTAACAAATTGCAAAAACATAGGTCTAAATGATACCCAACGTCATTTTTTAACAAACGTCATGGAATGGACGATATAAGTGATCGTACATAAATAAAAACCGCTATTTGAAATAAATAAAAACACGTCGGTTAATTAAAATTGATACTAAATAACAATTAGGCGACCCTGAAAAAAATAATAACCAACAACGACAGTCAGGTTAAGCCGTTACTACTCAAAATTCATGACAGCGTTGTTCATAGAAGCGACATTTCAAAAGTAATAACACGACTGTAAAGGGTACAAAACGACGTATTTAACGAGTTCACTACAACCTCCCATAAACCTCCCATAAATATTTACTATCATCGAAAAGGACCACAAAAGGCTTCTCAGTTTAAATATTTGTTGTGAGAGTTCCTCTGAACGTTGGTAAGCTGACACCTACTGTCGTCTCACCAAATACACATGACGATATTGGTGTTACAAGCGCCTTGTAGCGTAGGAACCACGTCTATATTTATATTCTCCGCCTCGTGGTAAGTTAAGTAACAACGACGTCCAGGTAAATACTAGGGTCGTAGTAGATAGTAATAACTATGTTCTTTTTATATTTACAGTCGTTACTACAACATTTACAGGTTGGTAATGACCAAAAGCGTCATGGAATCTTATTAACCACGACGGTTTTTTTTAAATAACTGTTGGGATAGTCGTTTTGAACGACGGTTATGTAATATATAGGGTCATGGTTACTTTATGTTATGACGAGACATGGATAAATTGTGACATGATATCTCCTCCAGACGACACCATGTTCCAAAAAGCGTTGTCTAAGCATATCGAAGTTGCCTTTTTTGTTGTTTTTTATATTAATTAGACATCGATTGTGAACCAATAGCGTCGTTATATATAGTAATAACTACATTCTTTCCATATTTCCAGCCATTACTACTTCATTTGCACATCAGTATGGACCATAGGCGTCGTGGAATATTTATTAACCACAGAGGTTTATTTTAATATACCATTGTGGAAGGGATTCTGCACGGCGGTAAGTTAATATTTAGAGTTGTGGTTACTCTATGTTACATTGGGACGTGGGTAAATTGTGTCATGTTATCTCCTTGCGACGACACATATCGAAGTTGGCCTTTTTTGCTGTTTTTATATTAAGTAGTCATCGATTTTTATTTAAAGATGACGTAGTATGTTGTAACAACGTCGGTAATTTACCATTGTGGTTTTATGTACCAAAAGATGACGGTCGATTTCACGACGGTGGATTCCCGTCGTCTATTGCGATTTTTGTAGTAGTGTCCAACCAGCTTCTGCAGCAGCTCCCTTGACTATTTATTCTTTCTTCATCTTTGTTGGCTTTGCTTACTCATCCTTAACAGTTAACATATAAACAAGAAAAAAAGCTAGAACAAGAAATGATGTGCTCGCCTTTGTTTGAACGAATTCTATTGTCGTCAATGTTGTAGTTTCAACCCTTCCTTGTTTGCTTGATGCTCGTCTCAACACCACCTCCACTTTCATGATATTTGTCGTTGAAGTCGAAAATCCCAAAGCCTTTGCCTTCTTGCGCGATGATTACATTCCTGCGAGGTCTTGCTACATATCTGGATGGCCATTGTGCGCAACTGCTTCATATTAAACAAAAGAAACTATAAGATAAGAGTAAAACAATAGTCAAGAATGATTTGAAAAAATAAAATAAACTCTTGAAAATTTGATGATATGTCAACTAAAAGAAGGGACAAGCAATTGCAGCCCCTTATGAAAAAGGACACTTTTTCAGTATCTAAAGATATTCTTCCGTTAACTGAGTAGCAAGGAATTACTTATTCGCTTTTGAATTACTTTTTCTTTCTGATGTTATCAATTCTAACAAACTCATTACAATGGTTAATGATTGTTAGAAATCTAGGTACGTAGTGTCAAATTTTCGTCAAGTTGTAAATGTGCCTTGTGTCGTTAGGGAAATTAGGACTTAACTCTCAATGATTCAAAGAAAAGATTAGGGTCAAACCTTTGCACTCAGGGATTAATGACCTTGGGGGAAATCTAGGTTTCAAATTGAGATGTGCAGGATTAAGGTTAGGAATTTGACACAATTTTGAGGTGACATCAAGAATTTGTGTATAACTTGGGACACTAAGAAAGCATATTGACAATGATACAGGGCCAAGGGTGTTGAAGAATATAAAGTCTCACATTGGAAACCTAACGAAATCAAATACACTATATAATGAGTAGTTCCACTACTAATAGCATTGAGACCTTTTATATAAAACTCTAACTACCATGAAATCTCAATGTAACATCCCGACCAAAATTAATTATTATTTAATTTTTGAATTGAGCTGCACCGTTGCGTCGGGCTCTTTGAAATGAGTTCGTAGACGGGCGGCACGCTCAATTCCGAGTTCTAACAACGAAAAGGGCACATTCGTCATTTTAAAAACTGAAAAGAAAAAAAAAAGTAAAACCGATTCGGCCCATGAGTGGACCCTACTCCCTCTCAGTTCTCTCTTTCTCTCTCTCCCCCGATACCTCTCTCTCGACAAACTCGGGGTGGGAGATCGGCCGCATCCAGCAACGCCAAGGCACAGGATTGGTCGGGAACTGACGACTTGAGTCTGGAGATCATGTCTGGGTTGGAGCCCCGTCTCGGGGGCCACTGACGGCGGTGTTAGAGCCTGATAAAGGGCCGAATTCTTTTCGGCATTTCCGGTGATGATTTTCGTCAATCTAGGTATTAATCTTCATCCTCTCCTTATGCTCTAGCTATTGGTATATGTATTGTAGATTGATTTTGAGTTTGGGAGATCGATTCTTAATCCTCAATTTGGCCGGCTTTTTTATCAGGTTTTTGGGTAGTTCCAGCTTGGTTTTGGCCGGGGACCAAGACCAAAAAACGTTCCCCTAGCTGAGATGGTTCTTTTGGTATAGGACTTGACAGGCGATTTGGAGATTTCCCGATCGCTGAAAATTACTCAAGTCACCTACCATTGCTGGTGGCGGGTGAACGCGTGTGGCCCACTTCGTGATGGCCCATTGAGTCCCAAAATACTCCCCATGTCGCTCTAGCACGACGGTATGCTTGGATTAGAAATTAGGTACTGTTTGACTATCGAACGGACATTACGCCTATTTGGTGATATTCAAGTTTGATAGGTTCAGACCGTTCGATCGGTCCTAATTTCAAATGTGTTGTTCTCTATACCTCTAGCATCATGTTGGAACTCACAGATTGAGAATTGGAATATCGGATACCCCGAATTATTAAGTTTTGGGTTAAGTAAAACGGGGTCAAATCATGCGATCGAGAGCGATCCGACCGCTTGATCGAGACCAAATTCTTGGGACTTGTTGTGTAGACCTTGTGGGACCTTTAGGAATGTTCGGATAGGAAATCTGAGGTAGTGGGCCTCGTGGGCCCAGGTGGGCCTGGTTGACCAAAAATGGGAAGTTACTAGAATGGCTTTACAACCTTTCTAAAGTTGTGCACACACGTTAAGTTTCCGAGAACGAGGGTTTGAATTTAAATTCTCGATTGAGGTTGACTAATGTGTAGTATTGGTGGGTGGACTTTTATTTGAAGATGCCTTATTTTTCCAAGTATTGAACGACATCCATAAGATGAGATTTCTTATGATTATGGGATTGTGTGTATGTCTTGACTGTGGCCTTACAGTACCGGTGAGTATTACTAGAGTTGATTGCCAATGATAAATACATGGAATTTGAATTGTGGTTATGGCATAATGTTGAAAACTTGGATTTGTTATGATGTTGTGATATAGGGCGTGGTGATGATATTGGTGGGAAACTGACTTGTTTGATAATTGATATTTTAGTTAGTGAGGTTATACAAACATGCTATTGGTTCGATTTCGGCCTTTACCATGTGACACAAGATTTTTCTGTGTGTATCTTGTCATTTTTATCATTATTGTTCTATTATTGTGATTGTTATTATCATTCAATTATGGTTGGAATTATTAAAGTATGAATACGAGTGTCGAATTAGTATATTATACGTGTTCAAATTTAGTTGGGAACAGATCTGGAAAGGTATTGCTTATGGATTATAAACGGTTGGAGTAGCCTGGTTTAGTTTGAGTTGGGATTGATGGGATTTGGGGTTGTTAATGTGAGTTAAAGTTCTAGGAAAAGTGAGAAAGGATTTTGGGGAATACAGTTGCCTACGGTAAAGTCTGTGCACATGATTGAATATTTCCTATACCTACGGTGGTAGAAGTCCAGCCAGTGTATCGCTTGTACCTGCAGTCAGGCCATACTGCAAGTGTCCGACTAGTGGTTTGCTTGTACCTAAATGGAGATTACTCTGTAGGTGTCCGGCTAGTGCATTGCCTATATTTGCATTGAGTTTACTCTGCAGCTGTTCGCCCATGATCTTTTCCTAGCCACCTGCCGGATTTGTTTGCACTTGTGGTTGGACAGTTTCCCATTCCGAAGTTGCCTTCCCTATACCTACATGGAGCTTACTCTGTAGGTGTCCGACCAGTGTATTGCCTGAACCTACATTGAGTTTACTCAGTAGGTGTCCAGCCAGGATCTTTCCCCAGCCACCTACTCGATTTGTCTGCACATGTGGTTGGCTAGTTTTCCCCCATCCCATGATTGCCTTCGGAAAATATATATTGGTTGCCTTCACAAAATACATATTGGTTGCCTTCGGAAAATATATATTGGTTGCCGTCGGAAATTATATTGTTGCCTTCAGAAAATATATCGGTTGCCTTCGGATGAAACTATATGTTCCATATACCCCTTAGTGGATGATAGTAGGTTGCTATGCAGATGGTTACAAGTATGGTTTCAAGTAAAAGGTTTGATTTAAAAGTTATGGATTTTTTATTTGGTTTTTGTTGTAATAATAAATTAAAGAATTTAAGAGTCGAGTTATAAACGTAAGGCTGTTTCGACATTATATTATATTTTAAGAATTGTGTTTATCAGTAAAAGAACTACATGTGGCTTGATCCCTCAGCAGGAGTACGTAGGCGACCTAGGTTAGCCTAGGTGCATCCGCAAGTTTAGGCTTATTTGTTAGGTTCGGTTATGCCAAGTTTAGTACTTTTCTGTTTCCTTTGTTGTGTTCTCAAGATATTACTTATCTGGTGCACTTTACACGGCGGAATATTGTCATTCATATTACTTTGCGCAAAACTATCTTATGCAAGTATGTGGTTGTGGGTTAGTACTTTTAACCTGAGATAATCGGAGGGTGATTTATCTTGTTGAAATCTTGAGGAGAAGTATACTACTAAGTTAAACTGTTATATATACTACGAATATTAAGTATTGAACATATCATGAACCAATGCGTGTCATCCTCCGAGAAATTATAGAGTGATACGGTATCACCTCGTCAGCTGGTGATACTCCCACTCAAAATCTAACATGTATCAATTTTAAAAAGAAAAGTAAAAAACAATTACACTTGGACTTTGTCTTCCAAGTATACCCTTCAACATTAATTAGACCTAACCCCTCTCCCACCGTCTTTCCTGTGCTTCGCTTCTCCCTCACCACCAAGCTGTCTTCTCTTTTCCCTCGCCACCCACCCCAGCTTTTCTATCCCTTCTCATCCAACATCTCCAACAACTCTTTCCCTCCCTCTCATTCTCAGTAAAAAAGTTAAACGCATTAAGAAAAGCCAAAAATCTTGAATATATATAAGTGGAAATCAGAAATCTTCAAAAGCATCTCCAATGAGTTGACAACCCACTACTGAAAGAAAGGTAATGATGGATGTTATGGGCTACCAAGTAAATCATTTTTTATTTTTTCATTTTTCTGTTAATTTTATCAACCACTTTTTGTGTGGTGTTGTTTGATGATGGTATTCATGGAGGGGGACTGCAGCCAAGGGGTGGCAGTGATTGGAAGGCAGATTGCCAATGGGATCTGGGTGGGACACTGCTACAATCTTGTTTTCTTTTTCATGTTTTTTATAAAAATAAAATTAAATAAAAGTTATTCAGGGTAAAGTTGGAAGACAAAGTACAACTATGAAAAAAATATAATTATTTTTTAGAATTTGACATGTGTTAGATTTTGAATGGAAATATCACCAGCTGACGTAGTGATACCGAAAGTTGTGTGCTTGGCGATTGTTTTTTTTTATGTATATGGATATGAAAAATATAGTTTTTTTAATATTGTTTGATCCAGCCTTGGATGCTTTTGGATTGTCCCAAATCTTTTTCCTCTCAAAAGCATCATTTGATGCTCCGTGGCTTATCTTCATCATTGTATTGGCTCAAAGTCCTCATCTTCATCATTGTGGGCTATGCCTCCCTAGCCCATGCAGACCACATGCGCCTGACTATCTCCCTTTCACTTAGAATTCCTATTTCTTGTAAACCCCTTAAGCTCCACGTTCTTTGTATGAATCATTCTGAGAAGATCAATCAAAGCATATTATCAACTTCATTTTGTGTTCTTCCATATCCCAATCTTTATTTTCATTTTGATCCATGTAACCTTGCCACCCCTCCAGGATCAAAGTTTTACGTTGACCGTTGATTTCACCAGTCAACACTGGTGATTATTCAAATTGCTGCTTTCCAAATTTGATGTACAATTTATTGTAGAACTTTTCCACAAGACATGCCTTTAAAAATGTCTGTCTGGTACCCCTCTGCATTAGGACAAGAGTGGCCCTCTTTTATCCTGCATGTGATCAAAACAAAAGTTCAACGATATTTTTTCCACACGGAGTACCTTTTTTTACCTTTTGACTAAACTATCCATCATGATTATTTCAGATATATAACAAAGATTGACTTCAAAAATCAACTTATTTGAAGCTTCGTTCCATTGGTATCTTTACCTTCCATTTAGAGCTGGCAAACGGGTCGTTTTTGCGGGTTATGGGTCGTGTTCGTGTCCACCCGTTAAGAAAACAGGTTGACATGAACACGACCCGTTAAGTTAACAGGTCAGAAATATCAGACCCAAACACGACCTACACAAATTCGCGAATAACACGACACGATCCGTTTTGGCCAATGGGTCGTTTTTCACCTGTTTCACCCGCTTAACCCATTTCACCCATTTAAAAAATAAACAATATTTTTTTAACAAATTATTAAATGAAAACACCTCAAATTAGAGAAATAATATAAATAAAGCTGAAATCCTTAAATAAGTCTTACACATTACACATTGGCAAACAAAAACAATCTTAGACAATGTGGGTTTCAAATTAATCTCAATTCGAACAAGTTTTAAATAAAATGTTAAGGAGAAAACAAACTCTAAAGAAATGTGCAAGCTGATAAAGAAATGAAAGAGTGAAAACAAACTCTGAAGAAACGCATTTCCATTAAGCTATTTGAAAACCCATGTCTGATATAATGCATAAATGAAAATTAAAACTCTCAAATGACTTGAGATTTTCATACTTTTTCGTTGGAGAAGTGGAAAGGTAGTGGATTGTTTGGTTTGGATCTAGAGAGAAAGAGAGAGCTTTTGTTTCTCTTCAGAGAAAGACAGAGAGTGAGTGGCGGCACTGAGGAGGGAATAACAGAAGCTACAATTCAAGCTAGGTTATTTTAGAATGAAAAGTTACAAAAATGCCCTTGCTCTAAACAAGTTAACGGGTGATTCGCGAATGATACTGACACAACCCGTTAGCTTAACGGGTCGTGTCCGATATTGCCGGGTCTACTTCCATTAGATTTAGCTGGGCTGGTGATTGCTTTGGCAAACTATTTTACCTTTGATTTCTTTTCACCTAGTAGGATACTGCCCGTGTATTTATCATTTTTTGTGATATTATGATTGATTTGGTTTGCCTAATTTTGATTTTGCTTAATTTCTTTTTGGATAGTATTTCCTTTATTTTATTTTTATTAAATATACTCGCACAGTCGAGATTTGAAATAAAAAAGTCCTTTTTAAAAAGGGCCGTACACGACGGGAATTCACCGTCGTCTAGCAAGTTTTCTAACCATCGTGAAATCGACCGACATATTTTTAAAAACAAAACCACGATGGTGAAACAGAGACGTTGTTCATAAAGAAACAACGTCGGAAAAATAAAAGCCGACGTAAAAGTAAAGAAAATGACCACCAAAATAACTAATTGTGAACCATTAAACGACTCAATTTGGGAAACAACCGTCGTCTAAGAAACAAACATGAAGTTGTTTAGTAAAATACCGCCTCAAAAAAAGCCACCCCGTCATAAACAATTAATTGCATGACATTGATGAGGACATTCCACGACACATGATGAAATATTACGTCACTTTTGTTTCCAAATATGACGTTGAAAAGGTTGTACACTGTCAGTCTTAACTCATAAGTTGACGTATTAAAAGACGTACACATGTCTATTAGTAATCAGAGACGACGTTAGGAGAACAAACCACGACACCTCTTTGTCCACATAAAACATTATTTTAGTACATTTCACGACACATGGTCAAAAAGTTGACGTGAAAACTGTTAATGATGTCAATAAATATGGGAATAAGTAGGTTTGTACGTCTCTTTTACTTTAAACTTTGACGGTGAAATAAGATTTACAACGTCAGTTATTATAAACACCGTGTTGTTTGTCGTTCTACAAACGTCGTATAACCTATCAACACCGACGTGGTTACTATCTACTACGTCATCTGTGTTAAAAAGACGATGTTTGTGTGTAATATTGAATGACACATTGTCACCAGGGAGACGTGAAAACTATTAATGACGGCAGTAAATATGGGAAGAACGAAGTTTTTACGTCTCCTTTACTTTAAAACGTCGGTAAGCATATAAAATGCCACGTGGTTACCATTTTCTACGTCATTTTTATTTCTAAAGACGAAGTAATTCATTTTCTCACATTTTTGTTTGTGAGGTAAGACGACGGTATATTTGTTACGAGGTCGTTTTATCTTCTTTTAAATGTCATCTTTTTTGCCTTCCACGTCGTGATATCCTGCAACAACGGCTTTTCGTTACTGTCATTGTTTTATTATTATGTGCAGTCTTTTGAGTTAAATTTTAGACGGTGGTAAGTACATCGAGGCCATCTCATTGGAGATGTACGACCTTTTTAATGTCCTTTTTTTTTAAACCGACGTCTTTAGCATTTTTATCTTTGTTTTTTATAGGTTTAAAGGTGTAATAACCCAAACCTAAAATTAATATTTAATTATTAATTTATTGGAGGAAAAGACTAAAATGCCCTTAGAATTTTTATGAGGTCAAAGGTTGACTTTTTGACCAAGAAGGAATTTGAAAATTTCAGTTATACCGTTGCGTAGAGCGCAGCGAGATGAATTCGTAGACACGTAGTGGGCCCAAATCCGAGTTGTATTGAAGGAGATACAGTCAAAATAAGTTCGAGGGCAAAATAGTAAATTTTGAAGGTCAGTTTTTTTATAAAAAAAAACCTTCATCTTCTCTCTCTCTGTGGGCAACCCCCCCCCGATTTTTCCCTCCAGCCGGTGGCTTCCAAGAGCCATCGTCGCCACCACAGGCCACGGCGGGCCATGCGACCGGACTCTAACGGACCGGGCAGCTTCCCCCTTCCCTTTCCGGTCAAACCCCACCGTCGAAATCGCCAAGAGCGGCCGGAATTAGCCCAGGAATAGCCGATTTTTAGCAGAATTTTCGAGCTTCCGTTCTCCCTCCCTCCGGCCACCAAATCAGTCGGGTAAGGTATGGATTTCTAGCTATTTTCATGCTCTAGCTGATGGTTGAGTAGGATTTGAGGAATTTCTAGCGTGAGAGGGTTAATTTCGAACCTAGGGTTCGGCCGATTTTGAGATCACCGTTTCGGCCACTTCCGGCCACTTTTTGGGGTAGGTCCAAGAACAAAAGTGGTTCCAAATAGGGTGTTTTATCTAGGGTAGGAGTCTTGAGCCGAGATGTTGAGTTTTTCCGGCGAGGCGTTATCGCTTTAGGCACCACGCGCTGCCAGCGCATGTGGCGGCGCGTGGGCAGCAGGGTTGGGTCTACAGTCAGTCCTAGAATGATCTCCTAGTCCTCACAAGTGCGTAGGATTTCGCGGATCTTAATTCGAATATCGTTTGAATCCCGAACGGATCTCGCCTACTATGCGATTTCCGGGTTCAATATGTTTGAACCGTTAGATTGTAGTTATTTCCAAGTATGTTAATCTAAACTTTCCCAAGATCGTATAGTATTTGACGGATCATAAAACGGAGTCCCGGATACTCCAGAATGGTCAGCCCTAGAGCAGTTTTACTGTAAACAGTTCAGTTACAGGTCAGAAACAGAGGAAAGAAATACATGTGGCTTGATCCCTCAGTAAGGGTACGTAAGTAGCCTACAGTTATCAGGCGCAGCCACGAGTTAGGGGTTCAGGGTTTAGGTTATTGTTTTCAGGGCATTTTGGTCTTTTACGACCCACAGTCACCAGGTGTTAGTTTTAAACAGGTTTCGACCCGGATTCCAAAGTGGAAATTGGGTCGGGTCGTTTCAAAAGGTCTTCCATTGCAAGACGTATGATAAAAAAAATGACGTCTAATACTATTATGACGTCTGTTTTTACAATAATGTTAACAGGACTGTCATATTTTGGTACTTGAACCAGATTTTTTTTTACTAAAAGCTTTGAGCCAAAACCCTGTATAATGAAAGTGAAAAAATTGCAATACAATTTCTTACAAAATTAATGTCATAAGCTTAAGTAATGTCATAAATTACAAGCATCATTCAATCCATATATCTTCACACCCATCTCGAATATTTTGACTCCTAGACTCACAGGCTAATTCATCAAATGTGGTATCCCTTTAGTAAATGGCTCACACTTAATTCTCACATCACCTAAGACATCATCACCAATAACATCATTATATTCTCTATTAAGCATTGATAACACTACTGACCAACCATGATGCATTGGGTCATCAACAAAAAATACTTGTTTGACTTGAGAAGCCATAACAAATTGGTCATTCCTATGTCCAAATTTACTCAGATCTACAAGGGTAAATCCAAGTTCATCAACTACAAGGCCAGAAGTTCTATCTATCCAATCACACCTAAATACTGTGATTGTAAACTTTTGGTAATCAAGGTCCCAAATATCTTGAATGACACCATAAAAACCCAAATTTGAGACAATTGGGTTCTTATCCTTGGCACAAGCAACTTGCATAGTATGTGCAAGTAAATAAACTCCACTATTTTGAACTGCACGTACATCATCTTGTGCCTTGGTGTTAAATTTAATACCTTCGATAAGATAGCTCCTATATGATGGCTCTGCCATGCTTGGACCAGCTACTAGCCACCTCAAATTTTCTGATACACCATTATTGTCTTCCCCATTAAGTTGACTTTGAACCTACAAATGAATAATATCTTAATTCAATCTAACATAAAAAGAAGAAAATTAAAAGTGCAATATGTTATTCAATTTCATATACCTTAAAACGTAGCCATTGAATGAAAGTGGTATTGTGCTTATCTTGTAGCCACTTTGTTCTCTTTCTAAATTTTGGATAAGTGGCCTTGATGTGGATCATATGTTCTCTACATAACACGAAAAATTCAAGCATTATAGTCTCAAACATATAAGATAAACATAAGGAATATAATTTAAAATGACTACTTAAGAATAAAACTCATACTCGATATAAGGTAGAACTTCCTCCGTATTCTCTAAGACATATAGATGTGCCTGATTCAACAAGTCCCGATCAACTAAACTCACTGTGCAACCTGATAAGAGCTTTGAAAGTCCTATCTTCTAGCTTGATGGCACTCCAACTGTACTAACATCAGATAAATGCTTGGTGCAAAACTCTACAGCTTCTTCAGCTATATACCGCTAAGCAATGCAACCTTCAGGATGATTACGGTTCTGAACATACCCCTTTAGCACTTTCATATATCTTTCGAACGGATACATCTATCTAAAATAAACTGGCCTACATAGACGAACTTCTCTAACAAGATGTACTACTAGATGAACCATGATATCAAAGAATGAAAGGGGAAAGTACTTCTCAAGCAAACACAAAGTTACTACTACATTTTCTTCCAACTTATCTAGCTTGGAAACATCTACTGTCTTTGCACATATAGCATTGAAGAAGAAGCACAATCGAGTTATTGCATACCTTGCAGGCTTCTCGAGGGCAGAACGAATTGCCACAGGGAGCAATTGTTACATCAAGGTATGACAATCATGTGATTTAAGCCCAAGAAGTCTTGAATCTTGTAATGATACAAGATTTTTAATATTTGAAGAGTAACCTTCAGGGACCTTCATACCATAGAAAGAATTGCAAACTGCTCTTGACAAATTCCAAGGCCCTGGAGGCAAGCGAGTACGTCTTTCTCCATACTCGAGTTTCAAATTAGTCTTGACCCCCATGTTCAATAAATCCAAACGAGCAGCAATCCCATCTTTATTTTTTCCAAGGATCGTCAACAACGTACCAATGATACTATCGCAAACATTTTTCTCGATGTGCATAACATCAAGGGCATGCCTCACAGGAAGGTATTTCCAGTACTCGAGATCAAAGAATTTTGACTTCTTCTTCCAACAAACTCTGTCACCATCATTTTCACTTCTACCTCCCCCTTTTTTCGAGCCCTATTTATAATTAATACCTTCAACCATTTGTAACACTTCTTCTCCGGTTAATGGCTTTGGAGGCGTGTTATATTCAAGTTTCCCATTAAAGGCTTCACGTTGCCTCCTGTTGAGGCCCAAAATATTCACGGTTCGGGCCAAATAAATTCTCGGCCCAATGCGATGCTTTACCAAGAAGAAACCCGATTTGGACATGCGAAAGTTCATCATATGCGCTTGCACACATGCCACGCCAAACGACACGCCACGCTAAGCAAGGAATTATCATTCCGCACCTAATCACGCCACAAGCTTAAGTGGACCCCAAGCCACTCAAATACCCGGGGTTTGCTTGAGTGGGTTGTGGTATGGATGGTAATAAATTGTCATGAGGCCCATTGATGGACCAAGAAGTGGAGGTTCCGGGTTACTTGGGAGCCTCGGAACCCAAGCCCATTTCTTAGGCCCAAACATGTGGGTGAGCACAAAAGAGAAAGTAGCCCAACCAAAATAGCCCATTACTCCAACCAAAATAGCCCATCACTTCAACCAAACTAGCCCAATACTTGATGAAGTTAGCCCATGTACTTGATAAACCAACTTATTGTCATAGAAGGCCCAAGCAACCCAAAAAAATATATATGCAAATCTTCAGCACCTAGCTGAAAACAAAAGTCACGTTGAAAGCCAAAATATCCATGTGTGAAAGCTGCTGGAAAGCTCCAACACATGGGAGAAACAAGTTTCAAGCAAAAACTTCCAAATGACCAAGGGATATTGGAGCGCAGATCACCATTTGAACCAGCATGCATACCCATTCCTTCCCTAATCAGACCTAGCCTTGGAAAAGGAGAGAAAAGAAGAAAGAAAGATGGCTGAAAATAGAAGTCTGAAACAGCCGCAGGAAAGGGGGCTTTGAGCTCCCAAAAATCCCTGATTTTATGCAAATGGGTAGAGTGGATTTCACCAAAAAAGGGATGATTGAAGAGATGAAGGGAGAAAGGAAGGAAAAGCTTAGCCAAAATGGGTAGAAGCCATTAGGTTTTCTTGGAAAATATCAGCTTCCAGCGGCTATAAATTAGGGCCTCTTCTACCCAACAAAAATCATCCACAACTAGAGAGCAAGCTTCCTCTCATACTTGCAAAAACCAGCAATTTCGTGCACTGTTCATCTTCCTCCATTTTCTTCTTCTGACAAGCTGCCAGAAGAACATAGTTCTTCCCTTTTCTCTTCCTAGCCACATATGCTTGAAAACCTCTTCTTCCTCACCTTAAACACTCCCTTTTCTCCCCAAGAAGCCATATTTCCTTTTTGGTGCTCAACTCATGCTAATTTTGCTCCCATGCCACAAGCCCCTCATGCCAAACTCAAAAGTTTATCTGTAAGCATGAAGAAATTACCTGTAAGCTGCCATTATTTTGGTTGGTGAAGATAACCAAAATACTTCCTAAGGCTCTATTGCCTTTTCGAGGTATTTTGGGGCTTAATTTTCGAACTCAGGCTCAAGGGGCAATTTCTTCCATTTTGCCCTTTACGGCAGTCAGGCCCGTAGTAGCTGCCGGAAGAAAAAGTCCCCTACATAAATTGGTGACTCTGCTGGGGATTAAGCCACTATCTGCACCAATGCCTCCAAAGAAGAAGACCAGAAGCAATAAACCGGAGGAAATAAAGAGATAAGAGCATTCCCTCTTTCTTTTTCTTTTTCCTTTCGTTGGCTATCTACTTTGTAGAACAAACATAATATAGATTACTCACATGCTCCCTTTGCTTGTGTCTTAGATATCCATTCTCAAGCAAAACAATATCTTGTAAGAGGACTGGGGGCTTCAGCCAACGTGCAAGCCGCTGACCACTGTCGTCAATGGTTGAGGCTAGCTCTGCCGTTCACCTCTCAACCATGATACATCATCAGCAAGTCTGGCCATCGCCGTAAATCACCTTCATAGCAGCCCTTACCTCTCTAGAGTTATGAAAACACGGTGAGAGAGGGAGAAGGAACACTTGCTCAATGCTCTCAGCCTCATCTCTGCGAATGGCTTCACCAAGATAAGATTTTTATTATCATGCCTTGTTGATCTCAATATAGTATATATATTTTTGTTTTAGGATATCCATAAAATTTATGTTTCATTGAACAATCTCAAGCATAGACAAAAGCATGTGCATTCAAGTCCAAAAAAAAAGATTGATTGATTAGTTGATATTCATATGGTGCACCAGCTTGCATCATTTTCTTGTTATGTATTAAACCACCTTTCAATTTTGCATCTCCAGCAAAATTTCTCAGGGCCTTATTCCACGCACTATTCACTTATCTTACTTCTTATCATTTCGTATCGATCCACCTTTGTGTTAATCAATCCAAGTTACACATTGCAATGTAGATGCCAACTATGCATGCTCAGTACTAAAATCATACCTGCCCAGCATGCTTATGTCAATTATGTTAGTCATTTGCAAGCTACAATGCTTATATTATTTTTATGCTTTGGTCATGCAGCATTATATCGGTCATGTGCAAGGGACCCAAGCCTCCAAACAACAAACAAGAAAACAAATGCTCTCATGTTTCCTACCCAACATCTCAACACACTGCCATTATCATCTATTCCTTAGACAAATCTCTCTCTATACTTCCAGTCATAGAAGTTCAAGCACCACTGAAAGAGCCGCTGGAAGGGTGGAAGAAGAACAGAGCCAGTCAAAATCCAAACACCACTGCTGGAAGAGTCGCTGCCAGAAGCACATGCTACCACCAAATCATGCCAAACTGTCACCGTTGCAACAAAGGGATATCCCAAGTTCATCATGCCATGCAATAAACCCAAACAAATACTAAGAAGGCCATGTTGCAAGAGTTTTTGTAGCCTATGCCCATCAAATCCTTTTCTGATGATTATGGTGCACTTGGGGGCTGAGGAAGGAATTCATTGCAATCACCACGGCAGTGATTCCAAAACCCCAAATGAGCTTAAAAATCCATTATTACCAAAACCACTATTCCCAGACCAAAAATCTCCTTGAAATCCCAATTATGTTACTTTGACCTCCAAGTTCGCCATCACTTGTTGTTGTAACCCAACACATTTGCTGCAGTGACCACATACAAAGCTCAAGCTTCAATAGCCAAGTCCAAGCTTTTGGTTCCTAAAACATGTTCACAACAGCTGCAACAAACAATACCTAAGTTGCCATAACTGATATGCTCCAACACCTCAAGCACTTTCTAAGCCTTGACCATTCCAATGACCAAGTTTAGGAGTCAAAACCAAAAGGCTATCGGGATGTCTCAATTGCCACAATTCCATAATCAAGCATCATCAAGCCCCGAGCCTTAGTCAAGAAATCCAAGCACTATGCTTTACTCAAGAAGGAAAACATCTCAATTCATGGCAAATGAAAGGAAAATATTGTGAAGGTAGTGCTATGATACTGCTGGAAGAACCTAAATGCTGTCAAGATGAAGTTTATTTTACCAAGCAATTAGAATTTTTGAAGCGATGTCAAGCTTTCAAGAAAAGGGGTGCTGGAAGCGTATTTTCCAATATTCATCCATTCTTCACCTGCAACATCCACCACTGCTTGCCATACTCTAAGGAAGATCTTACACGCCGAGATACATGACAAAACTCTAAGAGGCAAGCTATTGACAAGGACCCCTTGCCAAAACGAAGGGGAAAGTAGATGGCTACTGTCATTACGTGCTTTGATGACTTGCTCGACGATGACGTATTGTGCCACCTGTGGAAGAATGACCCAAAGCCACCGGAGGCTATGTGGGAACCTTGTGGAAATATGAAGAAGGCCAACTTAAGCAAATATTCAAAATCTGCAAGCTATAACACCCCATGGCTACTTGCTAATTGATGGGGGAATGGTTCCAGCAGCGAAGTATTCACATTGGACATGCTGGAAGAAAGCCACTCGGAGACTTCATTTGGTCATCAAGATTATCAAGAAGCAGCTGTTGTAACCTCTCATAACTTCACAGAGGTTGAAGAAAGTACAATGGGTCAGGAGCTGCAAATCACTCTTTGATTAGTTTGGTTATGAGCTGCAGGCAAGCAAAGCAGCAACTGTGGCTCTGTTAAATATCTCTACAGAGCATGGCATCCTAGTACAACACATGCCAAATACATGCCAACCTAAGCCGCAAGCTTTCATGCTATTGCAAGTCATGCACAACCTTGGGCCCTTTCATACTTGGGGGCTTAATTTGATAGGGGTGTTTATCAATGCAAAATGGCTCAAAGCCTTACTACTGAGTTGCTTTTGCACCTATCCTTTTGTTTTTGGCTTTTCAAATTTATTTCAAAGATGAACTCCTTTTGTGTTTTCACCATATGTTTTCACAACTTTGGTAGAATGCACCACCATTATTGCATGCCAAGGCATAAAACGATATTTGCAAGGAGAATGGAGTATTTTGGAAAAAAAAAAAAAGCCTCTAGAATTCTTTCCTTACTTTTATCTTCTTCTGTTTTGCAAAACGTGTTCTTAAAAAAAAAAAAAAAAAAAAAAACAAACTTTTCATTAAAAGGCTAAGCCTCTCAGCAGTAACTATACCAAGCAAAGCCACTTAGATGGGGTCCCGAACTGAAACAAGCATCAAGCCTAAGCAAAACGATGTGGGGTATGCAAAGTCAAGCTATTACAAAGAAACGAGCAGTAAAAGTGTATTTTGAGGCGCTGGAATAACGAAACCGTTGACTCCCAATCGGAATGCTCAAAAAAATTCACAACATCCGGCAATTCTTACAGGAGCCTTCGTGGAAATCATGCATACAGTGGCCTGACCCTTTTTAAGGCACGGAAAGAGGGTGCATTTTAGGCCAAATGAGTAGACGAGCCTTGCAAAAGTTTTAAAGAGCAATGCATCGAAGATTTAGCTTAAAGGTCCTGTCAAAATTTTGGGCAGCATATACCTTGTTTTTAAGGCTTGCCAACTCGTCAGAAAATTTCAAGAAGTTCACAAGAGCAAGTTCTCCCAACCAAGCAATATATATATAAGATGTACGAATTACAACATGCCTCAAGCATTCAGAAATTAATGCAAGTTCCAGTGGTTCAGTAGTACATTACAAAGTCATAATGACATAGTCGTTAGATTATCTAAAAAGTACACAGCCATCGCAAAAACAAGGTTACACATGCTCGAGATTAGTACATCCTATGGTATCAAGAAAGATGGAAGCTGTGCACCGAGCCAACCGACCCCAAGCCAAAGAAAACAACCTGTGAAATAAAAGGAGGCAGCACGCTGGAAGATGCAAGGCAACGCCGGCAGCTATGTCGCATGTTCTGAGAAGAGGATGAGTAGGAGGCAGCACTGCCGGAAGGTGCAGGGCAGTGCCGGCAGCTATGTTGGATGTTCCGAGAAGAGGAGAAGTAGAAGGCAGCACGCTGGAAGATGCAAGGCAGCGCTAGCAGCTATGTCGCATGTTCTGAGAAGAGAATGAGTAGGGGGCAGCACTGCTGGAAGGTGCAGGGCAGTGCCGGCAGCTATGTTGGATGTTCCGAGAAAAGGATGAGTATGAGGCAGAACTGCTAGAAGGAGCAAGGCATTGTCTACCCCTGCATCGGATGTCCCAAGAACATAGGGGCTATGGGAATCATGCCGCCATGCGCTATTGCTAAAGCCAAGGGGAACACCTGCGCATGCAGAAAATCTTGGGAAAAGTCACAGAGGAGGAATTTCCCGAACCATAATGATACAAACGCAGCAAGACGACACTGGCTCTTCGCCTACTGCAACATCTTCACAAGCATTCTTGAGCAATGGAGGGGCCTTCCCCTCTTCAATTTATCATCCGTTGAATAAAGGTGGCCACTAATAATTGACGACGGGTTAGTGGATGCCATGGCAGGTCTTGACAAGCGATGAATCCCTGCAAGAATTGCCAACAAAGAATACGCTGAAAAAACGGCAAAGCATAAAGCTAGTTCTCTGTGTTAAAGCCAAGCAATCTCCACACTAGCATGCAAGCCATATGAACTTTACAAGCCAAGCAAAGCAAGCTATCTCATGCCAAGCGAAATGCATAAACAAAAAAAATATTTTTGAAGCATCATGCAATCTATTACTCGAGCTCATGATAAGCAAATTTCCCATTCCATGCTCAATCAATCATTCCAGCAGACCCTTTTTCACAAAACAAGTGCTACAAACTGAGCACTATTTACCTCATAGTAACCTTTTTCACAAAAACGAAATACCTACGAGTTACACAGCATCCTTGCAGACCCATCATACACATGTTTATGTCTATCCCTATAAAGCCAAAAAAATAAACAGTTACCCATGACCAAATTCTAAGCTCATAAAAAATAAAAAAATAAAAAAAAAGAAACCAATGGTGCTTTTCTCAAAGCTTTCAATAGCCTCTAATCCTATGCATTAATCATACGATTACAAGCATGCGCTCGTGATGCATATAGTTCAACAACAAAAAAACGGGTCAAGAACGCAGCACACGCAAAATATACGCCAAGCAGGGCAAGTCAAACTCAAGCCAAAGAAAACACTTAAGCAAATACCCAAGCAACATACAATTTATCCATGGCAAGCGAAATTTTCAAGCAATTCCCATGACAAGCAAATTCTTCCTCAAAATGCAAAAGGATTCAAGCATTGCAGAGCATGCACTCTATCAATTTCTATTTCCACAACATGGGAGAAAAGTCCAAATTTATTCAAGCATGCGAAAAATAAGCCTAGGCCAAGATATCAGTCTATATCTATTCCTACAGAGTTAAAAAGAAGGACCTGAGATTCCAGTGAACGAGCAAAGCCCATGGGCATGAAGAGCCCAACAAGCCCCTCGATAGATTCAAGAAATTGCAAAAAGGAAAGGGCATACCTTGTCAATCACCTCAAAGGACGACCTCAAATGCACCAAGAAAGAAGGGAGGTTGGTGCTGGAAGAAGGGCAGTAGGTGCCGGGAGAAGGGTAGTTGGTGCTAAAAGAATATCGTATCTTCTATTTCACGTTACCATCTCCTTCATCACCATTGTTGATCTCATTATTTATGCAACCAGCTGACCCATCATTGCAATTATCCCCATGTTTTTCTGCGCAGACTTTGGCACCATCATTATTTTCAGGCATACTTAAGAATTGGTCTTTCTGAAGATGGATACTTCGGCAACTAATACTTGCAAGAACTTCTTCTCATGGCCATACGACAACTCCTGAAAAATCACAAGCTTTATTCATGCAATTGCACTACAGCAAAATTTAAAGCTTTTCAAACAAAACATCTTGCGAAAGGCTTATGGAGGCTTAAGAGAATCCATCATAGCAAACAGCACATGCAAACTCCAAATGACTTGGGGGCTTCATGTCAAGCAAAAGAGAGAGACAAGAATCCTGAAGCTGTTGTAAATTTCAATTTTCCTCTTGGAGGAAAGCAAACTGTTTGTTACTTATTTGGAGGAAAACAAGCTGTATGAATCTCTTCCAGCAACTCGCTTAGCCTCTTCCTTCTCATCTTCAGTCTACTTCTTCCAAAGATCTTCTTTGAAGCAAGTAACAAAAAAAAAAAAAAAAAAAAAAAAATTTACAAGCAGGCCTCTACTTTGTTTCTCGACCCTGAGTAAGCCAAAGAGAATATAACCCAACTCTGCAACCAATTGCTTACCTCAACAAGCTGACTTGAGGGCTTCATGCCAAGCAAATTCAAGGAAGTACACCATGCCATCCAAACAAGCAAACCCATCTACCTTTTTTTGCCACACAGTATAAATCATCTCTTTGATTACAACAAGCCTAGATAATCTTGCATTATGGTGAGAAACAGTTTTCTATTTCCCCTTTTTGAAACAAGCCAAGTTACATTCTTCTAGCACCTACTCCATAAGCAAAGAATTTTTATCACCTACCCTATTTCAAACATCCTTCCAGTACATGCCTAATTTCAAACATTCTGCTAGTTTCAAATCTTCCAAAAGCCTTCATATCGCAAGTCAAGGTGCAAGCAACCAAAACTCACCTTCATGCTACCAAATTCCTTGCAAATTAGTAAGAAGATGGCATTCCTCATGCTTTGGAACCTCTCAATCAAGCCTGAAAAAGAAACAAGGGAGTACGTTGGCCAGATCAGGTGCCGGAAGGGAACTAGTAAACAGAAAGGGGGTGCCGGAAGTAGAATCGCTATTAAAGCATAATGTTTTCCAAAGACAAGTTGCAAGAGACCAAGACTCACTTTCATGCTATCAAAGTAGACTTCTCATGCTTTATCATGCTTTCGAGCTTTTAAAACAAGAGAATATGTTAGCCAAAATCAGACGCCGGAAAGGTACTCATACACAAACGGATGTGCCGGAAGCATAATTTTCTCAAAGTGCAAGCAAACTCATCTATCAAGCATTTGACAAATTTCACAAGGTGTGATACCAATTCACATACCAAGAAATTTCATTTCATTTAAGCATTCCAAGCAATTCGGGCATTTCAAGCAAATTGAAGAACTCATGCTCTTGCGACAATACCATTCCACTTCATGCTCTCACGACAATATTGCTAAAGAACATGCTCTAGCAATACTCAGATCAGCACTCAATACCAACAGAAAGGACATGCTAAATTCCCAAGCAAAAGCAACATGCCAAGCAAAACTTATACACAAGCTTTCCAACCATCCTAGCTAGAATATCCCACCTTTAGAAAATCACTATAAATCAAGCTTACAACCAACAAATCCCAGACTTTCCATATTAGAACTAGACATATCAAGCTTCATTTTCCCAAAATTTCGTTGCATTTCGAGCTAGGGAAGCATGTCAAACAGATTTCTAAGACAGCCCACACAGCAGAAACTGTACAGCTCCAGCACCTTAACCCTTACTTTGAAATTCCACCGAAAATTATTTTTTCTTCAAGTGATGCAAGACCAATTCCAACATAACCATTGAGAAGTCCATTTTTATGTCTCAAAAGCTCCAACTCAGATTCGAAAAGAAACATTTCAAAAGTTCAAAAGGCAGCCAGCAAACTACTTTGAGATATTTTGACAAACACTTGGCATGCATACCCAAGTGAGCTTGTATAACTCTTGTTTATCACCAAGCTAGAATCCTAAATCAAAAGCTCAACCTTAGAATTCGATTTCTAGTTCACAAATTCTGGGAAATACAGAGGAACTCAAGCATTCAAGCATAGAAGACAAGCATGCAACAAAGGCATCAACATCAACTCATGAACATGCTTTAGAAAAATGGAGGTAGAGAGCACTAGAATGGGTGGATGATCCTCAATTTTGGATATGTTATAGACAACATAATTTCAAGCAAATTTTGTGAAGCAAGCGCAATCATACGAGTATCATAAGTTAAAGACACATGCAGAAGAAAAATCTGCAAAAACTCACCAGCCATGGATGAATGCAGAAGTTGCAAACCAGCTTTGAGGTATCAGAAAATTTCAAAAAATTCTGCAAATTTTACTGGCTATAGTACTCGAGCAGATGAACAACTTTTATTGAGGACGTTTTCTGATCCGAGCTTCCGAAATATGACTTATGTACTGATGCACAATACCCACGGGTTTGGGTCTTGAAGAAGAAGAAGAAAGAAGAGAATGAGAGAAAATCAGAAAATAAAGCACATCATGCCAAGTTCAGCCTTTTTATATACAAAAAAGAGGTCAGAGCAAGATTAAAGTAAGAAGAGGAAAAGGTAGAAACCCATACCAACAGTTTTGTTCACACGGAAATTGGCACCCTTCCAGCAACTCGAGCAAATCAAAGAAAAGGGAATCCCAGAAGATTAGTGCGAGCCCTTCCTTGCTAGCACCCACGTTGTAAGCACTCACGTTGCTGCAATAACAAAATAAGTCAAAAGAGGGTTTGATGCTTGACAACCAAAACAAAGGGCAATATTCATGGATGAAGGGAACCCAACAAATTCCTCAATAAATCCAAGAGAAAGCTAGAGAAGGGACATACCTTGCTAAAATCCCAACAGGTGACTTTGAATATACCAAGAAGGGAGCGAAATTGAGAATCATAGAGGAAAACCTGCACAAAAAGGTCCCTTCTAGCAACGGCAGAAGGGCTTCTTCGAAGGGAGAAGGGCTGAAGGGGTTGAAATCGACTTGGGCTCTTTTCCCAGCGGCTGGAGGCAGATGTTTTCCACTTGATCTTACTCTCTCACTCAGTTTTGAGCTGGGGGAACAAGGGAAAACGAAGAAAAGAAAAGTAGGAAGAAGTTGGATCTGGTGCAAGAAAAGGGAAGAGAAAGAAAGAAAATAATAAAAAAGAAAGGAAGAAGGCGTTTGGCATTGGAAACTGCAAATAACCGCTGGGGCCAATTATGACACGTCGTCATTTTGCACGCGGGAAGAAGAGAAGTTCTCTACAAATACAAATCTGATTTTTTTGGGTCGGGTTTAATTATTCGGCCCATTCCAGCACCTGTCCTGTTTCAAATATCCTTCCAGCACCTGCTATGTTTTCAAACATCCTTCCAGCACATGCCTTATTTCAAACACCTTGCCAGCACCTGCTTTATTACAAATATCCTTCCAATACATGCCAATTCCAAGCCTCCAAGCATACAAGCCAAAATCAAGCATACACGCCAATACCAAGTATCAAGCCAAAATCAAGCATACATGCCAATGCTAAGCATCAAGCCAAATACAAAATATACAAGTCAAAGCAAATCATGCAAGCCAAAATCAAGCATACATAACTAATATTAGATACACAAGTCAATGCAACTCTTGCAAACCACAATCATGCAAAATCAAGCCTCTCTAGTCACTCAAGCAAATAAATCATGCGAGCTAAGTAGTTATCTTGAGCTAATCCACCAAGCATTTTCTTCTATATCATGCCACAAAATAAGGTCAACTCTTGGTAACTCTAGTAAGTGACCTCCAAAATTACAGTGTCTAGGAAAGTTCTTCAAGGCAACACCCTCGGTGTTTAAGAAGGATTGGGTTTTAAGCGGGACCATTGTGACCCCTCCAACCTTCCCAGAAAAGACCTGGCTGTAATTTCAGAAACTCTTAACCTGTTATCCTTGAGTTGCTCCTAAACCCATGCCATGCCATGCCACGGTAATTTATTTTGGGCTGAAAATTGATTATTCGGACCATTTCAATACACATTCATGGCCCCAATAATCAAGGGGGCTAATGTTGAGGCCCAAAATATTCACGGTTCGGGCCAAATAAATTCTCGGCCCAATGCGATGCTTTACCAAGAAGAAACCCGATTTGGGCATGCGAAAGTTCATCATATGCGCTTGCACACATGCCACGCCAAACGACACGCCACGCTAAGCAAGGAATTATCATTCCGCACCTAATCACGCCACAAGCTTAAGTGGACCCCAAGCCACTCAAATACCCGGGGTTTGCTTGAGTGGGTTGTGGTATGGATGGTAATAAATTGTCATGAGGCCCATTGATGGACCAAGAAGTGGAGGTTCCGGGTTACTTGGGAGCCTCGGAACCCAAGCCCATTTCTTAGGCCCAAACATGTGGGTGAGCACAAAAGAGAAAGTAGCCCAACCAAAATAGCCCATTACTCCAACCAAAATAGCCCATCACTTCAACCAAACTAGCCCAATACTTGATGAAGTTAGCCCATGTACTTGATAAACCAACTTATTGTCATAGAAGGCCCAAGCAACCCAAAAAAATATATATGCAAATCTTCAGCACCTAGCTGAAAACAAAAGTCACGTTGAAAGCCAAAATATCCATGTGTGAAAGCTGCTGGAAAGCTCCAACACATGGGAGAAACAAGTTTCAAGCAAAAACTTCCAAATGACCAAGGGATATTGGAGCGCAGATCACCATTTGAACCAGCATGCATACCCATTCCTTCCCTCATCAGACCTAGCCTTGGAAAAGGAGATAAAAGAAGAAAGAAAGATGGCTGAAAATAGAAGTCTGAAACAGCCGCAGGAAAGGGGGCTTTGAGCTCCCAAAAATCCCTGATTTTATGCAAATGGGTAGAGTGGATTTCACAAAAAAGGGATGATTGAAGAGATGAAGGGAGAAAGGAAGGAAAAGCTTAGCCAAAATGGGTAGAAGCCATTAGGTTTTCTTGGAAAATATCAGCTTCCAGCGGCTATAAATTAGGGCCTCTTCTACCT